GGGAGAGGGGAGAAAAGAGAGAAGAGGGGGGGGGGTGCGTAAGGAATCGTATTAACTAATGCTATTTCTGGAAAAAACGGGGGCTCCGTATGTCTCCTTGTCCGTGCTGTGTGAGTGGTGGGGTCCTCGACAGATCGCGCACTTGACGTATGTGTCCGCTGTAGCGTGCTGCAGAAGAAACTCTCGTAGGATGCTCGATTTGCCGAATCTGGTCAGTATTTCCACCTTTGATTGAGCTTTGGGGGTGAGAGGATTGGAGCGATCTTACCTCGATGGCTTGATTCAGGTTGTTTTTTATCTTGATTCGTCGGGTTGTCCTTTGTCTTCGCTTGTGTGAGTACTTGAGAGTATTCCTCTGTGGTTCCTTCTTGAGTTTATTTCCTCTCCCTTCTCTCACATTCCTCGTACCTTCAAACGCCTTCTTCAATTCCTCTCCCTCATTGTTCTCTTCTCCCTCTCGGCTTCCTTGTCTGGTTGCACTTAGTTTCGTTGGAGATTGCTGTAGACTTCTGTCTCTTCTGGCTTGGGCGGTGAGGAAAGTTGCCTCTGTTAGCCAGCTTTGCTTGCCTGAAATAACCTATTTGTAGTTTTCAGGCTGTTCTCCTTCTTCTCTTTTTCTCATTCACTATTCCTCTTTGTCTCTTCTTCCCTCTCGTGTCCCTTTTTTCGCCTCCTTCTCACTTTGTCCGCACTCGCGAACTCTTGAATTCCTTCGAAAGTTCTCCTTTCCTTTGCTTTGCTTGTAGCTGAGTCTTGTCTGTCGTGGATGATTGAAATGGTAACGATGATGGTGGTGGATTGTTCACTAGACCGGCTATGGCTGCCCCTCGCCACGCCCGAGGGCGTGGCTGAAACTTCCCCTGTTTCGCGTCCAGATGCAGGCGTAATTCGGAACGTTGCTTGTGTTCCCGCGTGGCCGTAGCTCGCGGCTCGAAACGCCGTGGTAAGGCCGAAGTGGGTTACGGAGCGCTGGTCGGCGTTAGCACTAACCCTCAGTGCTAGCGCAAAAAAAAAGTTCTTGCTGGGAACCCCTATCGTCGAAATTCGAAATTTCGTTGTTTAAAATCCGGAATATCTTTTTTCGAAAATTTCGATTTCCTTTTGCAATTTCCCGTTATTTGGAAATCCAGAATATTTTTTTTCCGAAATTCGTTTTTCTGAAAACGGTACGGGAAATCCCTCTTGCAGTTATCATTCTCCAAACTGCGTGTACTCTCATCTGAGTAATTCCAATTTTATTTTTTTTTTGTATTTTATTTTCGGAATTCTTTATCAGAAAATCATTTGCAGTCCGAAAGTTCGGAATTTTTCTCATTGGTAATTTCGCACTTCAGGGGGAATTGGGAGGACTACTGAACTTGCAAACGAGTATTTTTTTTCTTTTTCACAATTTTTTTTTCAAAGTTCAAACTTTTCGTTTTGATTAGTGGCTCCTTATCTGGGCGATTTATCACACCCACCCTTCCCCACCTATGTTGTTGCCCCCTCCGGTCTTATCTTCTCTATCTGTCTCTGGGTACCCCCTGCGGCGGCATTGGTGAGTTGCCACGTTAGCAGACCACGTCAGCAGGCCACATCAGCAGACCCCGTCAGCTGGCCACGCCAGCATGCCACATCAGCAGACCACATCAGCAGACCACATCAGCAGCAGGTAGTGCCACGTCAGCAGGCCCCCAGCCTGGTCTATGCTCACGTGCTCGCAAACAGCCGTCATGGACCAGAAGTCAGGGGAAACGGACGAGACCTATTAGACTCGGATGCTGCTTCTGATTACTGAATCCAAGCAACGGCCGGATGCAGTAGCAGCCGCAGCAAAGCAGAAGGCAGAGGACGTCGAGAAGGCACGTCTGTTGGCAATTGAACAGCAGCGCCAGCATGAGGAGGCAGCAGCAAAGGCTGCCGATGAAGAACGAGTTCAACGTCGTGAGAAGATATTCAGCGGAGAGCAAGCTTTGCTCACAATGGCAGCGGACTGGCGGACCGAGGCTGAGAATGGCAAGATGTAAGAGAGTGAAAACAAGATCGCTCTCCTCCTCTCCCATCTCACGGACCTCCTGGCAACATGCATTACACAGTAGGAGAACATCCACAACCTCGATGACGCGTTGGCTCAAGTCCACAGCTGCCTCCGGCAGCTGGAGCAGCGACCCGTCGCCGCCCCCGATGCCAGCTCTTCCAACACCTCCGATCGCCTCGAGGCATTGGAGATTGACGTCGGATCCCTCAAGGACGGCGTGCAGTTACAGGAAACCGCAACGCAACAGTTGGAGCAGCGGATCTGTACTGCTGCCACCCACTCGAGCTCGGAACCGCGCGAGACGACTCCAAGGTTCGATGATCAGGAGATCTTCTGCGACTCGACGAAGACGGACCCGGTTCCATTGTTCTGCAAGTCCTCCATTACACTCCCCCACATCCTCTTGACAACACCCACCGCACCAAGCTTATCCAATCCCCCAGAATCCAACCATCCCTTAAACCTCAACACCAGCTCTTCAAAGAATACCCATATAGAATCCAATCAATCCCCACCAAACATATCCTTATATCCTTAGATCTCAAATCCGCCATTGAAGAAGAAGAAACAGCAGGGCCACTGGAGGGCGCAGGTTCCATCAGGAGAAGGAAAGAGAGACAACTCCAAATGCAAGGCGAGAATCCTCTCTGGGGGTTTCATGGCTACTGCTCAAGGAAGGACACGAGTCAAGGGAGGTTAAAGGACAAGAGTTTAAGGTTTTAGACATAGTCAAGGGTCAAGAGTCTAGATAGAACCAAGGCAAGCGAGGAAAAGACAAACAGAGGATAAATAGACAAAAAGTTAGGCTTCAGACAGATTCAAGATAATTACGGTTTAAGGTTCCAGGTTTTCAGGAAGTCCGCAAGTTCCTCAGTCCTCTCTAGCATAGCACACCGACCCGACAGCAGTACAGCTGAGAGGAGCAGGACTGAGGCCAACCGGATTAGCAAGGGTCAACCAGAATACGTAGAGCAGGCTAACTTATGCAGGGGGGAGCGGGGGTATATCCTTGCACAAGGAAGTAATCAATGCCGTCCACTCGGGCCTCCCAGCCATAATGGGGAGGAGCGTGCGTGAGTCTCCAATGTATCACATATTGACTTGCCGGGGGAATAGGAACCGGACCGTCGCTCCCCAGAATGGTAGGAGCCAGAACCACAAGGTTCTGTTTTTTTTCAAAAAAAAAACAAAAAAAAAACCTGGGTTAAGTCGACGTCCGGCCCAGGTGGACCGGGCCAGACGGACTGGGGGGGGTCCATCCGGCAAAACCAGACGAGCCAAAAAACATCCCAGGA